TTTTTTTTTTTTTTTTTTTTTTTTTTAAAGGAGTAATGTTTGTATCACAATAACTCACTAATTTCTATAATATTAAGTTTTAAACAAATTTTAGTTTGATTAGCTCACAAATTAACCATTGATTTCTTTTTTTCAACTCATATTTTAATCGAAAACTGGCTCTAATATAAATTTTTTTTTTTAAAAAAAAATAAATAAAGAAACACATGGTTTATAATTCATTGAAGGCATATGAAATGCTTTTATAATGATCTTTCGATTGAAAATTTATCAAATGGGCAAAATTGCAATATTTTTTCAAGTTTAAGGATAACACTACAACACTTGCTTAAATTTAATGGTGAAATTTGATGAAATTAAAATTTTAAAAGTGAAAATCGATATAAGCAGGTAAAATTCATTAAAAAGTCCCAAGGACAGCTGAAAATACCTTCACACACACACACACACACACACACACAAAAAAAAAAAAAAAAAAAAAGCTTAAATTTGTAAACAATAGTGAGTAGTAGTTGACATTAGGGGAATAAAACTGAAAAACCTGAAAGAAAGAATAAAAAAAAAACCTCTTTAAACCGATCAAACTGTTGTTAGTTCGGGCGGATGAGTTTGGCAGATTCGGCTTGCAAATGAAAAAATACCAAACACCGAACACATGAAAAGAGTGAACAGAAGAAGAACATGGAGTCAAAATTTGAATATGTTATATGGCAACCAGAGTCGGTCCAATCCCAAATAAGAGAACATAAAAACTCAGAATCCATTATGTTCCTTAATTTTTTAACAAACAACAAACACACACTCTCTGCTACAGTGAACAATGTCTCAATCTCCCTCTCAAGAGGCCTCGATACCTGGCTCCCCGATCTGAATCGACGTTCTGGATAAACTTGCCTCAAGCTCGTTTAGCTCATCAAGATCCAGTTCGTCGTCGTCGTCCTCATCCAGGAGGACATCTTCAGAATCATCAACAGCACTTGTTGAGGTACTGGGTCCACCCGTTGGATTATCTTTAGCCTGAAATTGCACGTGGTCATTAAAAGGATGAGAATTCCACGATAAGTTCACCAAACAAATCAACTGGACTTGCATTTGACGTACAGTCAGCTAAGTGCTTTAATGGAAGCAAAATAATAACTAACAAAAAGAAACGTATTGAAACCATCTACAGTTGAAGATGAGAGAGATGTTGTTTTGATATTGAGATAACTACAAAAGCAAACCACCTGGGTTGCGCAGAAATCTCTCTAGCCTCGAACTACCAGGGCATGCATCTAGGGGGCCATGATCACTATCCACTTGGTGGAATGGTCTAACAAGTGCTGCTTCTTCTTCCCAAGCGTAATTGGGAATGCTCCAACAAGATCTAACCCCATGGAAGGCCAAGTAGATCCACACGACGTTAATTCCTATAACATATAGTCCCAGTAGTAAACTTAAGGGCATGCTTTGTTTGCCAACGTCCTACCTCTCAAATGATTTTACCGGTGGTTGAGATGTAATTAGACATACAGATCCTTAACTTCTCCCAGATAGCATAGTGCTACGGTCTCAAGAAGGAACGTCTATAAAACTATCCTTTGATTGGTATGATGAAGCTTCCGAGTGACTGCTTTATCCACGGAGTTTCTTTCTCAAGATCCTGTAGCATTAGACAAAACCAACAGTTCTTTCTCTACTTTAAGAGAGTCAAACTTCCTCAATGGTAATAGCATGTATCTAGCACCAAACTAATCAAGGAGGACCCAAGATTGGCAAGGGTATCCGCACAATTGTTCTCTCATGGGAGAAATCCTAGTATCTCCAGATTTTGGTATCAGATCCTTTGAAAGAATGAGAGAGAAGCTGCAAAGCTCCAGCATTCAGGCTTATTTTCAAATTTGAAAGCTTTAAAGATGTACTCTCACATCTTCATGGTTCTGTCAAGTGTGATAGATAAGATTGATGGACGATTTAGAGAGATTTCCTTAAATGGGAAGACAGAACAGATTATCGTGCCTCCAAGCCCAAGGGTAATAGCATTTAGATTGGACGATGAATGAGAACTGAGATCTCATATTCATCACATATTCAGGAAGAATCTCAATCATGATGGGTCAGACTAGCGGTCATTGAGCCAGTGCTAAAAGTAAAGAGCTTAAATGAAAATGGATATCAAGAAAATATTTCGAAAGAAGAGTCTCATCAGTAGAAAGGTGGAGGTGGGCCACCCTCACCAACAGACAGGTTTTTTGTTCGTCAGAACAGCTAAGCCGACTGTAGAATTTAGAAATTAGATCAACCAAGGAGTGTCACTAATAAAACTTAGTTAGAACGCATTGACAAGCAGTTGGAGGTTAATTCAAGGTCATTGTCCAATATATTTTGGAAGTCCAAAGTTCACAAGAAGGTGAAAATCTTTATTTGATCAGCTTTTCTTAGAAAGTTAAATAAATGAGGCCCATCGCTAGCAGAGAAGCCCCTGTTTTAAATCATTTGCTAAGCTGGTGAGACTTTTGCAACCAAGATAATGAAAACCAAAACTCTCTCTTATGGTACTTAGCTTTTTTCTAAGCGAATCTGGATGCTCTTCACTTTGTGTAACTTCAAAAGTGAGCTATTGAGATTTCTACCGATAAAGTTTGTTCAAGTAACCGCTAAGTTAAGCCTTCAAATCAATGAGCTTATGCTATCTAATGGCGTCGATGTGTTTGGGGAGAAATGAGAACTTTTCAGTCAGTATGGGTTGGGTTAGAATTTTTAACCTGCTGAAGTAATGAAACCTCAAGAATGATTTCTTGTACTTCAACTACACCAACTAGAAAGCCTTAATCATATCTTCTGGTCCCTTCGTCAGCTAGAACTACTTGTCCTCCTTTTCTTATTTCTCTTTTGAGGGACGATATTTTTTCTTGAACCACTAAAAATAGCAATACTAACAAAATTACAGCTATCACTACAGAAACACAAAGAATATAGACAACATATTTTCAATAACCAAGTCTAACTAACATACTTCCAAGTGGTTGGAGCACATGGAATAAATCATTCTATCTAACGATTGGAAATTTCCATCGGTAAGATACTGACAGGCTTGGATAAAAGAAACTATTTCTTTCCTCAGATACCTCTGAGTAGCATATTACATTTGCATATGGTAAGCACTAACATTCAAACCATCCTCATATTCAAACAAAGGGGTAGGCGCATAAAAGTGATGCCCAGAAATTTAAATGTTGGACTAAAAAATTCATCAGGGAAGAATGTGGTCATGAAGTCACTGTTCACATGGCATAGCTCAAGAATAGAGCCGCAAATGACTCTGAAGACACATGCAATCTGTATAAAATTCACACATAGGATTACCTTTGGTTCATCGGCTTCAGGTTCTTCTTCTCGCTGATATTTTTCATATGCCTCAGCATCATCCACAAACAAGCTTGCATTTGCAAGAAACAACTCCCGACCACTGGGAAAAAAAAAACTTATGTCACTATTAATTACTTTATAAAAGTAATTAGCTATATGAGTAATCTAGAAACCTCATGCGGTCATTCTTAGCTCTCTCTGCTTGTTGTGCAGCCAAACCAGCATCTCTTTCATCCATCTTTTTCTTCTTCCATTGGAAGAAAAGCTCCGGAGTAATGGGAGTAGTGGTTTTAACTTTTGCCCTCTGGGATAAGCAAATAAACATAGTAAAAAGATGTAGCGTGAAACTGAAACCCAAAAAGAAAAGAGTAAAAGGCTGTAATTTTTTTTTAAAGCATTTTCTTGTTTGGTTTAAAACGTCAACAGGAGAATAAAAACCATAAGCAATTAAATTGAATTGAATCACCTCATTCTCAATCTCTTCCTCTATTGCAAGCTTTTGACTCTCCTCTTCGAGCAGTTCCTTCATTTGTGACTTTAAAACATATCCTGGAGGAAGGGCATGTCTATAGTGGCAATCTTTACCACCATTAGGACACACCCAGAACCAGCCATACTGCTTCTTTTCCACTGCTTCCAGAAAATGCTTGCAGACCTGTAAATTATCCATTTTAAAAAGATCATTAAAATAGGATACTAAATTATCTCAACTATAACAAGCAATATACAGTTGTCTAGTAAACCACAAGGATTTAGAAAGACCGCATGTCAGCACAATATAATAGCATAACTCAATCACTGGAAAGTGGAAACATAATCCATGCGTTGGAAACGGACGTTCACAAATAATAGTTCTAAAATTAAGTATTACCAATATGAGCTTTTTTCTATTCACCAGCAAGCTTCACTTCTACAGTAACAAGAACGTCGAAGTCAGTTCTTTCCAAACCCATCCCTTAGACCTTCAAATTATAAGTTGATGAAAATCCCAGAGCATGCATACATTAAATAGGCGCATGCCATTTCTAAAAAAATACCCCAACTTTTCATTCACGAGAGATTAGACATCACAACCTTGCCCAACAATGTCACCACAAGGAAACGTACTAGTTTCCAGTTAATACATAAAATATGGCTGAAGGCAATGCCTTGAAGAAGCGAGGTGTAAGCCTGAATAAAAAATAACAAGGCATTGAATATAAAGTATAAACCATACACACAAGTGAACATCAACGTTTTTTTTAACACTACAACAAAGTCATTTTAGTCTTCTAGTCAATTCGAGGTGTAGAAACTTTAATGCATTGTCATGAAGGCTTAACCCTCTTCTACAAAAGATGTAAGACTCTTACAATTCAAAGAAAAGGATGATAGATAAGGGGATTGCATATTTGAGTTAATATGTCAGAAGTAACAAGCTCAGACAATGCAATTTAACGTAAGAACGCTATGAAAGAAACATGAGAAACATACAATCTCAGTTGGCTTGTGGAGGTTGTAATAATTCTTTTTTGATTCGATGGCCTTCTCCAATGTCTCTTGATCCCAATCCTCCATCGTATCTAAGGAAAAGCATTGGTCGTGAAGAATTTTTAATAAAAGTATTTAATAAATGAAAAATTATATGACTTGTAGAAAATAAGAATGTTAATCTCTCACCTTCATCACGCTTATCACTATATATATCAATCTTTTCACCCTTCCTCTGGACATTCAAATCATGTGAAAACTTGCATTTAAAACCTTTCGTACACTGTCCCGCCTTAAATAACTCACAGAGTATAGACTTGGGATCAACACCTAACGAAATAACCAAAATCCAATATCACATTAGTTCAATACGAAAGCTTCGACGCAAACAATAAATCTGAACTAAAACCAAAGACGAACAGTAATAAACTGCACATACCAACGGGTACTTTGGGCTGACTAACAGCAATCTTGAACAGGTCATTCAACTCCTTCTCTTTAGCTTTTTCTTCCTCCTTCTTTTTCTGCTTAATGCCAAAACCAATCAATCAGCTTCTTCTCGTTCCGAAAAGTAGAAAAAAAATCATCAGAAAAAGAGATTAAACTGTCCCCTTAATTAACCAGCAGAATAAACTTGGAGAAGAAAACCGGACCTTGGCAGCTACTTTCGGGTCGACCTTTGGCTGGACAGATTGCTTGAGATTCTGGACATATTTCTGGACGTTTTTGCTCTTATTTTTGTTCTTGAGACCAAATGTCTTGTCTTCAACGACCTTCTGCTTCTTCGCTATATCGGCCTTGGATTGCTGCTTCGGCGGCATGCTTATTTCGCATTCAAAGTCGATCGGCAGCCAAAAAACCAAGGAAAGCCGTAGACGAATAGATACCAAACCAGAAATTTCGCTCCAAGAAAACACGATATTCGATTTTAAGGGTTTGTACGAACAGATTTAACTTTGTATTGTTTAAATGACAGTCCTGTCCTCCACTTATTGGTGGTATTTAGCTTTCAATTGGGCCGATCCAACGAAGGCCCATCAACTAGTGGGCCCTAAAAGGCAATCGCTTCTTTCCCTAACTGATGGACAATTTTGTTTGCACTCTAGCTCCTCCACTTCGACCGGTACCTAAAAAAAAATAGAAAGGAATGAGTATAAAAATTATATTCAGTAAGCTATTTACTTGTAGGCTCTTATCGCATTCAAATTTTGACAAACTTCCACGGTATTTTTCTTTAGCTCTAGGACATCTAGTTTAGGTCTTAGCTCCTTGGGGCTTCTTTGGTTCTTCGTCCTTTTATTTAAACCCTAAGAGTTCCCTTATATCAACCTGTGTTTGATTGGTGCACTGCGAGGAGCTACTTCAGCATGGCTATAAGACTACTTGGTGGCTTACCTAAGAGGTGAGCTGCAACCCCTAGTCCCATGGTAACCCTTAGTCCCGCGGTAATCCTCCTTTGTTGGGAGGGTGAAAATTAAATCTCATATTGTTAAAACAATATAATTCACGATGAAAAACACATTAATTTGTTAGTGAAAGACAAAAATAGAAAAAAATAGATGGTGGTGCTTAGACACTCATGCATCCCCTTGATCGCCCACAAATCAAGTCTTTGATTGATATAAGATCGTACCTGTCCCAAGCGAAAACTAGAATAAATAAATTATTTTTTGCAATGCATTGAAGTTTCTACTAAAGATTAGATCTTGAGCCAACCTGAACACAGTTCAATAAGACATATCGAGATGTTAAAGGTTTAAATCGAATTCTAAAAATTTAGGACCAAATTGAAAAATGAATACCGAAGACAACCAAATTTTAACTTACAAACTCTTAAACTATCTGTTGGGATAAAACTAAAAATCAGCGGTTTACTATAAAATCCCCCGGCTATTGGACAATTTGCAATAACTGAATGTCAAAAATCATTTATAACATGCGTAGAACACAAGTAATTTAACCCTTTGTTATAATGTCAAATAAAGAGGTAGGTTTCACACAGAACAAATTGACTGTTGAGCAAGGAATATATACTGTCCGTGATGATCTCAATAGAGCGCTTTTCTAGATGCATCACGAACAGTATCAATAGATGCTCGAAGTCGGGCAACTTCGCCGGGTTAAGAGCCAAAATGGTACTACACAAAAAGGTATAATTATCAAATCCGTCTACTTTTCTTGCCCAAGACTTTCCTCAAGCTCTGCTTCCAGAATAAAAAAATTCAGTACCATTTTCCTTGATGTAAAATTGAAAATTATGTACTCTGTTTCTTAAGTTTTCTTCCAGGCCTCCGACTGGTTTGTTCAAAACTGTCAGCTGCAGAGAGGAAAACAAAACCTGATTATGATCATGATCGCCCAAACAATGAGTGGCAGCAACAAATGTGAATAAAATCGGGTCAAACAACAAAGCGGGAAAAGTATGCTAAGCAGCTTGATGATGGAATCGATATTTAAAAATTTATGAGCATTATATACAGTATCTTTAGTCTCAACAGCATATACTACCTAAGTTTACATCTGAAACAGCCTGGTATAAACAGGCACTGTTATAGGGAAAGAGTTAATGTCATCAACAACCCCTCACATATTCTGCCAGAACTCTGTTGGAAATGATAGGTAACTAAGGGCCTCTTTGGAACAACTTTTTAATATTTAAAAAAACAATCTAGAATGATGGTTTGGAGTGACTTTAGCACTAGGAAAGTCACTCCAAACAGACCCTAAAATCGGGAAGAGTTGTTGCACAATTCTTGACCAAGGAAGATGTAGGAGAAAATAGGTCAAACATAACTAGGCGTAGAAAACAAGCTGATTAACATGAAAGTTATAAAAGCAAGAAATGGCACCTGCCCATGAACGTCCTTCGCTATACCAGTGGCTAGTGGGCCTACTTTTATCAAGACGTCAGCAAGGTATTCCATCTGTAGAATCAGTGGCCTTTCGATGTCCAGGTAAACATCTTCGTGACTAAGTGCGATAATGGAACCACCCTGTGGCAAGAGCAAAGTATGAATACTGGAGGTTAAATATAAAAAGGACATGTGAAGAAGAGAATAATTCAGTAAGCTTAGAGGGTCTTACAATTTCTGATGTTAAAGTGTGGCAATAATGAAGGAAGTCTAAGACATGATTTGAAGAACCATTGGCAGCAACCTCCAGAAGAGGTATATCATCAATCACAATGGTGACATGCCTTTTGTTCTCTTGAATTAAGGCACTAACAGCTCTCTGAATTTTGCAGTACAGTCCAACAAGAACACCTTCACCAGTTTCCTTTCCACTTCTATCTGGTAGCAGAAAAAACTTGTGCCATATCAAAGATTTGGTGCCATGAAATACATAATGAAAAGCCAAAAAACAAGCACCTTTTGGACCAAAAAGGAACGCATGACAACAAAGCTCTATAATTGGAAATACTCCAATGTTCTTTTTTTTTTTTTTTTTTTTTT